CTGAGGACAGTTTCCCAGGGGGTCCTATTAACTAATGATGAACTTCTACAATGAAATGACAGGCCTGGTAGATGAGGGAGGAGCAGTGGATAGTGTCTACCTGGTCTTCAGTAAGGCTTTTGATGTGGTCTCCCATAAGAGTCTAGTAGCCCGTCAAGCTGTTGGTATAGGGGCTGGATGAGTGGACAGTGAGGTGGATTGCAAACTGGGTGAATGGCTGGGCCCTGTGGGTGGTGATCAATGGCACAGTCTAGTTGGAGGCCAGTAACTAGCAGTGTACCTCGAAGAGGACATTCTCAGTCCAGTCCTGTTTAACATCTTCGTTAGTCATCTGCACAGTGGGACTGAGTGTTCTCTCAGCAAGTTTTCTGATGACACAAAATTGGGAAGAGCAGCTAATAGGTCATTCAGATGTTGCCATCCAGAGGGACCTCGACAGGCTGGAGAAATGGGCTGATGGGAACCTTGGGAAGTTCAGCAAGGAGAAGTGCAAAGTCCTGCACCTGGCAAGGAACAACCCCACACACCAGATATATGCTGGGGGCCACCCAGCTGTAAAGCAGCTTGGCAGAAAAGGTCTTGAGGGTCCCAGTAGACATCAAATTGAACATGAGCCAGCGATGTGCCCTTGCAGCAAAGGCAGCTACTGGTATCCTGGGCTGCATTAGGCAAGGCATTGCCAAGCAGGCCAAGGTGCTTCTTCCCCTCTACTCAGCACTGGTAAGGTCACATCTGGAGTGCTGCGTTCAGCTCTGGGCTCCCCAGTAGAAGACTGATACGGAGCTACTGGAGAGAGTCTAGTGATTAGTCATCTGCACAGTGGGGCTGAGTGTTCTCTCAGCAAGTTTTCTGATGACACAAAATTGGGAAGAGTGGCTAATAGGTCATTCAGATGTTGCCATCCAGAGGGACCTCGACAGGCTGGAGAAATGGGCTGATGGGAACCTTGGGAAGTTCAGCAAGGAGAAGTGCAAAGTCCTGCACCTGGCAAGGAACAACCCCACACACCAGATATATGCTGGGGGCCACCCAGCTGTAAAGCAGCTTGGCAGAAAAGGTCTTGAGGGTCCCAGTAGACATCAAATTGAACATGAGCCAGCGATGTGCCCTTGCAGCAAAGGCAGCTACTGGTATCCTGGGCTGCATTAGGCAAGGCATTGCCAAGCAGGCCAAGGTGCTTCTTCCCCTCTACTCAGCACTGGTAAGGTCACATCTGGAGTGCTGCGTTCAGCTCTGGGCTCCCCAGTAGAAGACTGATACGGAGCTACTGGAGAGACTCTAGTGAAGAGCCAGGAAGATAACTGAGGGACTGGAGCATCTCTCCTGTGAGAAAAGACTGAGAGAGTTGGGACTGTTTATCCTGGAGAACAGAAGGCTCAAGAGGGAGTCTCATCCATGTATATAAATACCTGAAGGGAGAGTGCAAAGAGGATGGAGTCATGTTCTTTTCAGTAGTGCCCAGTTACAGGACAAAAGGCAATGGTCACAGACTGACACATGGGAGGTTCTGTCTGAACATCCAGAAACACTTTTACACTGTGAGGGTGACCAACCACTGTCACAGCTTGCCCAGGGAGGTTGTGGAGTCTCCATCCTTGGAGATATTCAAAAGCCATCTGGACATGATCCTGGGCAACTGGCTGTAGGTGAGGGGGTGGGGGTTTGGAGCAGATGACCTCCAGAGGTCTCTTCCAACCTCCACCCTTCTATGATTCTGTGATATATAGTACCACTAGCTGCTTCTGGTTGAGGAGTCCAAGACAGACCTGAAGTCCTTGTGTATTCTAATCTGTATTTACAAGGCTATTTTGAAAGAAAGCACCTTAACAAGATGCTTAGATTGCACCTGGCCCTTCTGTGTAATGTTTACATGACCTTAAAAAGGAAGTAGTATTTTCTTTTTAATGGATACACATTTATCATAAGAAACATAAAAGGAGAACAAAAAGGAGAAATGGGGTGTTCTGCATAGCCTTATGGTGGCATCTCATTGTCTCTGATCTTTTATACAGATGGATCAGTTCAGAGAGTGAGAGCATATTGTACAAGGAATTAAAATTGCTTGAATTTTGTACTGTTGGAAACAAAGTGAGCCTCCTATTTCATAGAAATTGCTCTAACAGGAAACCAACAGGGATTGCCATCTTCCTATTGTAATATTCTGTCTCAGGTGGGAAGGGGTGCACCAGTGACCTCATATGCAACTTAGGAAAAGGCTGCAGTTGTTACTCAGTTAAAAACAATTTGGAGAAAGAACATTTGCCTTGCAGCTACTGCCTTTATGTTCATTTCACATATTGTGAGTCCTGTGATGCAGGAAGCCTTCTGATCCATCCTGGGCTGAAAGAACACAGGATGTGGGATCACTGTTGTTCTTGCTCTGGATTTGTAATGTTCATTGTGCTGGGGCTTTAGGTTTTGTTTAGCTGTTTTCAGGACAAAAGATAGTATTTTTTTAATCTGTGGTGTTAATTTACATTTACTTCGAATGTTGATGTTTCTTTCTCCCTGCACGTACACATATCAACTTTCAATTAATAGAAATGAAAAACAAAGATCTGAACCATTGTCGCAAGCTGTCTGCTAAATAAGTGTGATTTTTTTTTTTTTTTTTAGATATGTCATAGAGGTGCTAAACCGTAGAGCTATTTTGTTTTTAATTATTTCAACCATTAGCTGTATTGCTGTTGCGCTGGAAACACACTTGGCTCCAGCAGATGAAGAATGAGTTACAAAAGAATGTTTTCATGTTAGTCCTAGCACAAATCTTCACCAGAGGACATAACAGTGTTATGGAAGAGACACCAGGAGGAAGTAGTGGATGTGAAATCTGTAGACAGATGACTGGTAAATTCCAAATGGAGAAGCATCAATGGAAATTAGCAGGGGAAAACAAACAAACAAAATCCAAAAACCCCACTCAGTGCAAGATCCTACAGAAGATAAAGGTAAAATTTATTTACAAATTCTCTAGTAAGCTAACTCTCATTCACGTGTACCTATTTTCTAATAGATTTCATTCACTCACACTCTCACAGCCAAGCATGAAGATATGTGTGCCAAATTGGTCATTTTTTGGCACACACATTGCATTCCCTCTGGGCATGGGACACAGAGGACAAGGGATGCTCACTACTAAGACATCACTGTCTTCTGGGTTCTTCATGACTGATGATGACAAACTAGTTTTTTGATAGATGTTTCATGACTTTTAAGAGTCAGTAGTTGTTACAGACTGGTCCTTTCCTTTAGGATCTTGGTTCAGCCTCTGTAAATTGTAGGGCAAGCTGTTGCCCATCCTCTGTTTTCCTTGTTGGTTTGAAATGTGTCACTATTTTCCCAATAGACTAACAGGAAAAGGAAAGGCTCATGTGGCACACTGCAGCCTTGTTGCTGTCACCTTGTTGTTAGGATGCACCTTTTTTTTCTGGTAAGTCATCTGTGTTGTGGTCTTATCAGAGTGCAGGCTGTCTTGATATAAACAACACATTCCCACTGGGAATGATGTCCTGGGAGTAGTTTCCTGGGAACATCCTTTATTTTGACACAGGCCATTCTATTAATCCTTGTTTTACTGTTTCTTCTTGCGTGTTAATATTTATGCATTCCTTTTATGTTGCACTCATACAAGTCTTAGTATGTCTGTTACAATTATGTTGCTGTACCAAAATTCTTATTTATTTTTAATGTAATTTGAGTATTGAGGCAAATTTCATACTGATCGTGCCACCCCTTTGAAACAGAGAGGCAGAGGCTGCATTCCTTCTTTTTCCAAATAGTGATTCAACTTACCATTACCAATTCTCAGAATAGCAGTCTGTCCTGAGAATGAATTTGGTAAAGGAAAAGGCAGTCAATTAGAGTTTCTGAGACTTCTCTCTGCATGTGAGAATGCAGAGTGTATGCACATTTAGAGAAAACTGATTTTCCACTAAATAGTGGTGATGAAATACAAGGGAAGTAAATATGTGTTAATTAACTTTATACTGAATATTGCTCCTGTCTTGCATTTGGAGTATTTCCATGTTTACAGTACAAAAAGCTTGTGTCACTGGTAGCATCCTGTGGCTTTTAGCAATAGTAGTATATAAGTAAACATAGAGCAGAGTTTAGTCCTTTGATTATATGATAAGCTTTCTTGCATCTTCTATAGCAGCTACTTCTGGTGTTAGGGATGATGGAAGATACTTTGGCAAGTATTGTGCCCTAGCTGTTTCTTTGCTGGCTTACATGGGGAGAGTCACAGATGGGATCCGCGTTTTCTTAGTAAGTTTGTTAAGAACTCACAAGAAGTCTGCTAATAGTTTAAAAAAATGCCTTTAGTAAGAAGCATCATATGTTCTTTTGGAGGGACAATGATCTAGTAATAACTTAAGCAAGCATAAGAAACTTCCCCACCTGTATTCTGTCCTACAGTCAGACTTTATTAGTATGTTCCTGCAGCTGTTATGACCTGTGGGGGTTTTAAAACGAAAATGAAATTGGGGAACCCATGTATTTATACAAGTTAGGCAAGACACGTGTACTTCCCACTACTATAGATGCTTCATGATTCAAAACGGTGGTTGGTGGAAGACTTTGTTCATGACAGTTTGTCTTCAAGTAGTGGCTGGGTTCTTACTCATGAACACTGCATAACAGGAAACACTACACCATATAAAAGCTTATTCCTACCGGTTTGTGCCAGAATTTTTTTTCAAGATACAGACTCCCATGTTGCCCTTCACTTACCAAACAAATTGGTGATTCACAAGTAAGACTTAAAATAGCACAGAATTCCTAGCGCCTGTGCCTAGGGTGAAGTTAACAGGTCACGCACTTTTACAGAAGTGTATGTCTTTGTTTTCCCCGAGTTGTCAGAGTAATTTCCAGTGGACAGCCCTTTGGTTCTGTTTTGTGACTGTGTGTACAATCTGTTCAATTTACTACTATGCTGAGGAACAGAAAGAATAAATTCTTAGCTGGGCACCAGGCTAGGAGTTTTTACTTTGCTGCTTTTGATGTCTCAGCTTATACATTTTTATTGCATTTTCATTTTATCAGGCTGGGCTGCTAACACAATTACTGATCACAGGGTGTATTTTTTTTAATTAGCTCTACTGTGAATACAGGTTTCCTGGTTATAAGGTGCTAGCAGGCCAATGTGGACAAGAAAACTGTATGTGCTAAGAAGCAATACTTCTTCCTAAGCATTGTCTTCATTTCTGTTTTTCAATATAGAAAAATAACCACTTCTGCAAATAGTACTCTGAGACTGCAAGGCAAAAGTCCCTAAAGATCATTCAGCAATGCTATTTTGAGAAATGAATACTCCAGTGGTCCTTTTCTTTCAGATAGTGACAGAACTCATAACTCCACAACACCTTCCCCTTCAGTGCCTTATGTGAAAGTAACACTGCAGAGCAGTGCAGTATTATATGTGTCATGTGTTGGGTATGTTTGGAGGGAGAAAAGCAGAAGTTTACAACCTGAGATTCTCATTAGTTATATATGTGGACAAATTCCCTCAAAACAACTTTTCTTTAAATGCTGTGGAGGACGCGTAGCTTCTGTAATGTACAAGTTCTAGCATTCATTCCAAGTCTTAACTGAATCCAAGTATCCTGTTCCTAGTGGTACAGATTCAAGCACCTTTTCCAAGTCTCTGATCTTTTAATGTTCAACATTAAAAGATATTGACATATGTCATCCTATGGAAGAGCTATGTGTTACTTTGAAAACCTGTTTGTTAGGTCTCATTAATAAGCATTTATTTGGGCTGAGGACGGGTAGAGGGGGAATGAGGTTTTTGATGAAAAATAAGTTTCCCAGAGCATTTACTTGACTGCAGTGAAGCCTATATCACTTTTGTCTCTAAAATGCACCCTAACAGGGTGGTGCACATAAGAAAGATACCCACATTTTATCAGTCCTTGTTCGTCTTAGCTCCATTTCCACTATGCAAAAATCTTTTGTGTTTTCCTTTCTTCTTTAGTGCCCTTTCATTTTAAAATGTAAACTTAAGGATCAAAGAGACTGCTCCCAATCCAAGCACATGGGTTAGCATGCTCCTATATTGTTCTGTGAAATATCTTTTTCTTTCTGTTTGTGTAGTCAAAATTGTCTCCATGACAGCAAAACTGATTTTTAAGTAGCTTGACATGACTCAGTGGAAGCAATGTAGAGGAAAGTATTTGCTCAATGCCATTTCATAGACCGCTAATTTGCTAACATTGAAAATAACTTTCATTCCTTCTAGTTTGTTACTTCTCTCATGAATCCTAGCATTTAGAATAAATTCGTCTCTTGAAGCAATTAATTCTAGCTGTATTGGTTTGCTTTTTCTATATTGGTGGAGCCAGGATTTTATGCTTGGATGTTGACATAATGGATTTTGAACATGACTGTTCCCTATGACTTCTTCATATCTTTGGTGCTTGGAACTTGATTATTAATCAGAAGTATCTCATATTAAAAGTCTCTTCCAAAGGTTTTTGACATAACTTGCACAATTTTGTTCTTGGCTATGTGATTATTGTCATTGTATGTAATGGCAAGAAACAAAGGATTTTTTTATCCTTTTGCTGGAAGTGAGTAGATATTTACATAGTCTCCATTGTTAGCAAAGATTTAAATGTCAGTAGCATGTACAAATATCTGTATAAAGAATAATTGATTTCTGATGTGGGTTTTTTGTTTCTTTTCTTTCTTCCAATAGAAAGCCATTTCATCTCCAACTGTATCACGCCTTACAGATACATCAAAATTCACGGGTTCTCACAAAGAGAGGTTTGACCCCAGTGGGAAAGGAAAAGGCAAAGCTGGCCGAGAAGATCTGGTGGATGCTTCAGGATATGTATCTGGCTATAAGCATGCAGGCACATACGATCATAAAGTACAAGGAAGCAAGTAAGGCTGAGGGTTTACAGCACTGAGGGAGAAAGAGAGGGGGAAAGAGAATATATTTATAAGAATGATGTAGATGAATCCCACATGTTTTGGTTATTGTGAATGCTAAGACTATGTTGTCAAGAAGTTGTTTTCAGGAACTGGAACTGATTTCAACATCTGCTGAGCTACTTGCAGCACAACGCCACTTCGTTACATTCCTCATGCATATATTGGCAAAAATAAATATATAGGTACAAAAAAATACGTCATTTTGTTGTGCTTTAGACAAAAAAAAACCCACAAAGTCAAGAGCAGTTAGACCACACTTTGTCAATTCAAGCAAAAGATCTCAAACATTCCTAAATATCCAGTTGCCCTGAGGATATCGAAGAGAACCTCTTGAAAAGAGGGTCTTTCATAGCAGTCTTTCTGAAGAATACCCCATTATTTATGCAGTTTGATTTGACTACTGTTTTGGGGCTTTTTTAAAATGTCTTATATCGGATCTGGCACTTTCCTTAAATCATTCAACAATATACTATTGGGGAGTAAGTGGTTGTAATATACAAGGTGCTAGCCTGTAAACGTCATACACCACTCATGGAAAAACTGAAAAAAAGTATTTTTAGGACAATATAGGTTCTAAAGTATTTTATGTCAACAAAAAGAGATGGAAAATACCAGCCCTTACTTTCCTCCTGTCTATACTTGTTGTTGTGCTTGTTACTGTGTGTACTGTAGCCTGGTTCTGACTGTCTGGATTTCGATGGAGCTGTTGTACTAATCTGATGGGTGAGGAACAAAACATTACAAAGGAAGTCTATTAAAGCTTTTTGCAGTTTGTTTTCAAGGTTGCACTGCCTCACATTTGAAATGAAGGGGGCATTAAGCTAATAATACTTTAAAATATTGATTATGACTAAACACTGCCAATCAGATTGCTATTAAGTGAATGTTATTATATAGATACATTGGCATATATTCCCTTTAAGCTGTAACATATGTAAGGAAAGTCTATAGCCCTTTGGAATAAAGACATTTACAATTAATATCCATGTAATTAGGTGCAATTTGCCCAGAAAAATATACTCTTATAACTGGGCTACATTTTATGTTAGATTTGTTTGAAGCTAAGGGATCTGAATCTCTGTTCACTTTTGCTGCCTAACTCAGGAGTAATAGCATTGATGGGAATGGCTTTCCACCACTGTAGAAGGAGAACCAGTTCCACAGGCTTAAGGTCCAGGCAGCTGAGTGTGATCTGGCTGGGGCCCAGAATGCTAAAACAGCTTAATAGGAATAAAAAGAATTCATTTTTTGTATTGGTTAAAAAGGAGAGAAAAGGCTGTTCCAATTTTCCACAAGAGCTGAACAACTACCCTAATGTATTGCTCTGCTTCTCTAAAATTATGAGAGATAAGATTTTCAGTATTCAAAACCAGCTGCTAGCAGTTCTACTTTGCTTTCTTTCAAAAAGAGCTCATGCACTGATGTTTATGTTTGACTCTGAATAAAGGTTAATAAATTTATTGCTCTCCCCTCACCCATATCAGCATCCCACTGAGAGTACATAAAATTTAGTGAGCCGCGTGTGCTGTCATGTACCATACAGCTCAACAGTATGTATTTGGCCAATGTCCGGAAACAGAGCACTGTTTTTTCAGCCCTTAAACTGTTCATGTTTTGTTTTTCTGATATTGAATGGTAGCTTTTCTTGTAACTTTGCCTCAATGACCCTTTGAGCCCATACATCAGCCTGAAACCAAAACAACAATAGCAAACAAAGGCAAGGATTTCCCTGTGGACTTGGAGATTTTTTTGTTTGTTTATAATTTATTTTGGGTTTTGTTTTGGAGAGGGAGAGGAGTTTGCCAAAACTCAGCACATGTTCTTGTAAAGATTTAAATGGCTTTTCCCATGGTTGGCTCTAGTTACCTGGGAAGATTTTTGACGTATGTAAGGATGCTCAGGATGAGAAGCATCCAGCTTTGTGAAGCTTTTCCAAGAGTTACCCATTGTTCTTGAAGAAAAATTTCCATGGAATGAAGGATTATCCGCTCCTATGTTGCACTGCTGACCTGTCACGCTCTGAGGCAGAAAATAGCATACTGTGATACCAACAATGGCTAAATTATTCCAGCATGGTAGTGAACTGTCTAAATGTAGAGAACGTTCTTCTACGTCACTGGTACCTGTGCACCTGAAAAAGGCTCCAGGACAGTCCTGGTTTTTATGAATAAAAAGGCTAAGCCTCTAACCCTTGATAAATCCTTCAGCTAAGTTACAGGCAAAACCAGTGTGTCTGTTCTTCCTATCGACTTTAAGGCTTGACTTATAACTCTCTGGTAACTGAAAAGATCTGAACCCAGCCCTAATGAAGGGTGAAGTCCAGTCTACAGCAGAGCCATTTCAGCACACCGTTGCTCTGGCAGCTAGCTAGCTGCCTTCTCTGGCACATCAAGTAATACTTAATCTGAAGTGCATAAGTGACAGGCTTTCTCAAATGTCAGTAATACCAGACCATTGCTACATAGGAGGAGTGATTAGTTAGGAAGGTTTTAAGGTATAATTAGGTTTTAAGTTGCTAGTTCACAGCATGAGAGAGACCAGCACACTTCTAAGATAGAAGGCATGCAAAGGAATTGAAAATGCAGACAGATCCACACTGACATGGACTAGAAATTGAGCTACTCTGTTTGCTTACAAGAGGCTGATGAAACTAGCTGGGATTCTGCCAAAGCTTACTTTGCATTACTTGTACAGTACAAAATCCCTGCCATAAACCACAGCATTTTGTATGGACCTGATGCAAAGTTCTTTGAAACACTTTGATGGTATAGGAAGCTTTGGATCAGGACCTGAGAAAATGCTTCAGATAGCAGTATTTTATTTTGAGGAACACGCTGCTTTGTTTCTTCATTGTTTCTACAGTTTGATAGTTTTAAAATTCAAACAGATGCATGAAAAGAAGTCATCCTGATATGACAGTGACAAAGGGAAGTTGTGGCTGGAAAGATAGCACTTTGGAAAGATTTTTCCATTTTAGTACACTTGGTGTGGAAGATAAGGACTATGAATAAAAGCACCATGTGCGGCTATGTATTACAGGTTCAGCCACCTACTTAAGCTCTTACTTTTCCACTAATATCTGTAGGAAAGTAAAAGCCTAAATACTAGCTTGAATGTTAGCCCTAAGTTCCAGGCCTGCTTGGGAATGAGGCAAAGTACATTGTTTTGTTCATCTGCCGTTCCCTCAACTCTCAGGACAGCAAATACAGCTGGCACTTCAGAGATGAGGGGAAGGAATAGCTCAGGAGGTGCAGAGGTGACCCATTTTCAACCCTTCAAGTGTTGTAGAGCATATGCTCTTCCTTTGCACCATACTCCAGACTAACTAAATGTCATGTCTGAAGTAAGGAAATGGGTACCTAATAAGGTTTACACTCATCTCCTTTTTTTGGGCATCTCAACTCATTCCATCTAACTTTCCAATCTGATTTTCAGCATCTTATACTATGCAGGACTCTTCTATGCAACATCTTCTATAAAATTCTGTTGTTCCTAATTATCTTTGCTTTTGTTATCACTGAACATGCTACCAAAATAAATGTGATCAGAAAGTTCAGGTAGCTTTTATCAATAACTGCTGTAAAGAACTCAAATTACACTGTTCATTTAAAATTAAACCCTAAATACTATGGCAGTATACAATCTTACCTGCACCTCCACTGAGGCTTAACCTGACCTTCAAAGCCTTTGCAAGATTGAGGACAAGACATAAAAAAAGAGTAGTCCTTATAAATAATTTTCTAAAAATAACCTAGTCTTTACATAAAATATGCAGAAGTCAAATGGGTTTTCTTATTAGTGCTTGCTTACTAACTCCCTCTAGTCATTCCATGTGCTTTAGTTACTTGTTGAGAGTTTTGCAACAATCTTATCAATATGGAAATATCAGAAACAAAAATTATTATCCTGCTTTTTGTGGCTGTCAAAGCTATCACAGCAGTGTTACTGAGAAGCAGACATTAAAAAACCATACACTGTTTCAACAGTCCTATCTGAACAGTTGTCATTGATTGTAATCAAATATTTGAAATCCCAAAGGAAATGCTGAACATTGGACAGTGGCTAAGATCTTGCCACTGTTTTTTTTTTTTAAACCTACAGTATTTCTTATCTCTTTTTCACTTTAGGGAAGGAAAAAGAAGATTTCAAAACTACTCAAATGTCACAACTTCTCTTTTTCATCAGCATAGAGATTGTCCTTCAAAGATATTTTGGATTGAAGTATAATATTTTCCATGTATTTTACTGACCTTACCTAAATTGAAAATTCCTCTGACAACTTTTTGGCATTACAGAAAGCTTTGTTCATTAATTAGCATTTCAGTCACCCATATTTTCCCTCTATTGGCTCGGTTAGTATTTTTTTACGGTAGCTAGAATTAGTCAGAACCAAAAGGCAAATGACTACTATGGGTTTGGCTTGCAACTGATAGGTATCCCAGCCATCTGTAACCATCTGTAAAGAAAATCCTCATGTATGTTTCTCCAAAACCAAAACTTCAAAGTTGTAATTGGTAGTTTTTTTCCTTAAGGCTTGTCATAGTTATAAAAGAAATTTTAATTCTTTGTGCCTGCATGTATGATACTCAAAACATAACCCTGCCTTTCAGTGATGCATGTATTCTGGGGGCATATGCCTGTCATCCATGAATGAGAATTCTCTGTTTGCACTGGCCAAGAAACAAACCTTTTACCTTCATGACAGAGCAAATGTAATGTGTTGCACTAGTACGTGTCCTCTTAACTGACTGTTAGCCTTGCGTGTGTGCCAAAATAACTACACCTTTGTGTATATCGTTTGTAGTGTGAATATTATGTTCTTGGCTCATCTATTAGTGGGTAATTAGTAATGTAACACACAAGACTTGTACAGGTTTGTGTGTGCGTACACATACTGTTTGGATCCAGCTAAGTAATTGAACCATATAGATGTTGATCCAAACCTTAAA